AATTTATCAGAATATTGTGCTCAATGGAAAGGTGAGAGAATTTATCAGAATATTGTGCTCAATGGAAAGGTGAGAAAATTTATCAGAATATTGTGCTCAATGGAAAGGTGAGAGAATTTATCAGAATATTGTGCTCAATGGAAAGGTGAGAAAATTTATCAGAATATTGTGCTCAATGGAAAGGTGAGAAAATTTATCAGAATATTGTGCTCAATGGAAAGGTGAGGAAATTTATCAGAATATTGTGCTCAATGGAAAGGTGAGAAAATTTATCAGAATATTGTTCCCAATAGAAGGGTGAGAGAATTCATCAGCGATTTGGTCATTTCATGGTTGAAAATTTGCTGTAGAATCATTTGTCAAATTCTGAAAGTGGAACAAATGTTTGTGGTAACCAGACCAGAATTATCAGTCCAAAAGCAAACAACCACTTTGTAAAACTAGGGCCTGTGCTACTTTAGCTGATATGATACAGTATAATATATTATATTTTTCTTCTAGACAATCATCATGGCAGACTGTATTATCCGGGGAGACCTAGCTAATGTCAGGATAGGCAGACATAGTGTGATAAGTAGCAGGGCTGTGATAAGACCTCCTTTCAAAAAGTTTTCAAAGGGGTAAGTTTTAATTTTTGACCTGATGGGGAATGCATCTAGCAGGCCAATACAACAGAAGGTAAATTAAAGGTCAACTTTGGTGGCAGTATCTATTTGAGGAGTTCATTCTGATGTTTTAGACAACTGGAAGGTGCAGTAATTAATTCTTAGAAAATTGAATTCAGGAAGGTCAGATTTTTATATTTAATTTTGAATATTGTGGATCATTCCTGAAAAGAATATATTTCCAAGCAAAAAAAATTAATATTAAATGTTATAGTTCTTGCCCATATATATATGCTTTAAGGTTTTGACTTTAGGGTTACGTTGCTTTCTTTCAGTGTTGCATTCTTTCCACTTCACATTGGAGACCATGTATTTATAGATGAGGATTCTGTCATAAATGCTGCACAGATTGGGTCATATGTACACATAGGAAAGAACTGTGTCATTGTAAGTTTATAGAATTTTCCTTCGAAATTTATTAAAGGTATTCTGTACAGGATTTTCCCTCTGCCTTTTAATAATCCTGATGCTTTTCTTGTTGTAAAGGGATTGTTTTTACTGTGTAATAAGATTGATATGGATTGTCAAAGTGTAACAAACTAATTACTTAATTTTGTAAGCTAAAAGGAGTTTCCTATTACAATATTTAGCAATAATGCGACCAAGTATGGCAGCTTTAACTTTTGTACTTGTGATATTAAGGGAAGACGATGTGTGCTCAAAGACTGCTGTGCCATAGCTGACAATACTGTGCTTCCTCCAGAGACAGTGGTGCCACCTTTTACATACTTTTCAGGATCTCCAGGTACAGTACTGCCCCCCCCCCTTAACCCCCCTCACCCCCCTTAACCCTCCTCACCCCCAAACCCTCAAATACCTTGCTTCCTCAAGAGAGAGACATGCCACCTTTTTCATTCTTCTTAGATACAGTACATAATAGCAAATTATTTGTCAAAATTTTTCTAAGTATTTTCACCCAAATTGACAACGTCATACCTACAATGTTTGTCTGGTTATTCAGTTAGTGTTTTGATTAAATTTGATATTTGGTTGATATTTTCAGGTCTTTTTGCTGGTGAGTTACCTGAATGTACACAAGAAATGATGATAGATGTCACCAAAAGTTACTACCAACATTTTCTGCCTCTACAAAGCTAGTACCACTGGGACTGATAGATAAACTATGTGTTAGCTCACTCCATTCCCACAGTAATGGTGCTTGTGTGAAGTCAGATTCATTGGCTACCATATGAACAATGAAATGATATCCCTGTTTAGGTATCAGCATTTCCTTTTCAAATGTGTAGATCTATAGTTAATGATGTTATTGTCAGTAGTGATAACATCCATCTCTTATAATGAAATGGTATATGTATAGGACTATATTGAGCTGGTAACTGAGTCGTGGCCCCAGATCTGCCACAGTTGTATTTATTAAGGTTTTTTCATTTATTATTTATTGCTGATATTGGTTATCAGTGACATAACTTGTCATTGTTTTATTTTGCAATGTATGCATGTTAGTTTTCAGTTATGTCAGTGTCTTTTTTTAAGTAGGCCATTTTGAAATTAATTGAAACTTGTAATATGTTGTGTTCAGCAAACAAGTTTTTGTTTTGTAATTATCATTTCTGTCAGCACATTAATGCTGTGTTCTGACAACTAGAATTGATGTACATAAAGCTTATGTAAAAAACAGCTGTATCTTATCATTTATATTTGAAGAATATGATGTGCTCTCAATTACATTTGAATGCTGTCTCGGGTCAGTGTAGACCTGTCGTCAGTCTCGAGATATTTGCTGAAATGCCACCATGTACGTGAGACAATACATGTGGATATAAGACCACATTTCTACTGACATAGATTATATATATCGGTGTCAGAAATGTTTAAACTCAAACATTAAAGTACAAAATATACTTCTTAGCCAAGACAGTAGAACCATGTTAATGCCAAAAATAACAGCACCCGTAAAAAACTAATGTTTACAAATTGAAATATAAAAGTTGCCATCTTCCTTTTTATGTACAGACAGGATACGATCAAACAATAAACCCTGTCTCCATTCCAGCATAAACGGATTTATTTTTAGGAGAGAGAGGATTTTCGTAGACTTCTTAACCTTACAATTTACGGCATCCAACGGCATAGCACCGTCACCTTAAAGGAGTGTTATCAGTTGCATTATTTTGCCTCTGTCATCATTTATCTATTTAGAAAATTTAATGTTCATCCAGATTTACCTAGGTTTTTCATTGCGCTTCTTATATTTCAATACTTTGGTCGGGTTTTAGTAACATTCATTGTTTTTACCCGGCACCCAAATATGATGCTGTTAGGCTGTAACTCGAAAAGATACTTAGCATCAAACAGATGAGATGGGATCAAAAGAGATTTTATTTGTACGTGTTCATGGTTATAAAGTCGATACTGGTCGTGTGATATCCGTACAGTGCCGTATGTCCCATATGATGCAGCGTCCGGAGACGGGCTGTGACTACCCTCTACCAGGACGACATATTGATTTTTCACAGAACTGTATGTCTCTAGATAAGTAGACAGTCATTTTGGCTCAGCAAAAAATGTCCACAGTAATAACTGCGGCCCTGGTTGAGGGTAGGCTGTGACCGTACGGTATCGTACCGATTAACAGCCTCTATGGCGTTGTCAACTTGAAACTTTGACAAATTTTTGAAGTACATTGCAAGTTGCAACAATTTCGTAGACGGCGTTGCACAGTGCCCATCACATCCAAATGAAAAAACTGTTCGATGGACTTGCAACGCAAGATTGTCTTGCGACACGGAGTTGTCAGACTTGCCAAGGAGATACAATCCTCTCATGGTTTTAGGAATCATAAAGTAATAGTGAAGATGCAATATAATAACTAAGTCTAATTCACTTGCATAAATGTGAAATTATGTGTCTCTTTATTATGGTGCTTAAAAACGCACGGGGAAGTAATGACAAGTTAAGTAAATTAATTTTATGTTAACGCGTCAGTCAGCAAGGAAGCCGCATATATAGTAGGGGAAAGCGCGACATTTGCAAACAACAAATGTTTACACACTCGCTGTAGACCGAAGACATTCACAAAACAAATTTTAAAAAATAGAAAAGAATGTCCTATAAGATTTCATCGTGTGGCGGCAGTCTTGGAAAATGTTACCTTGGTTTACGAGTCAATATGCGCTATTTACATGTTTTTCCTTCAGCTATTTAGTTTTTCTCAGTAAGTCGTCCTTTTACCACAAACAGTCCGGTGTAATCTGATCGAATGTCTAAACTTCTTGTATTATCTTCATACCACACCATTTCGTCAAAACCAGCCGACTTCAGAGCATTAGTGATTTTAGCTTTGTCAAGCGGGAGACAAAAGAACTTCTCTTTACCAACTGTGTAATACGTTTCATCCAACACTCCAACAAGAACGATGTGTCCCCCGTGTCGTAGAAGTCTGGCGATGTTGACGAGCGCCCTCTGGTAGCTGGCGACGTCATGACAAGCAGCCTCTAAACACAGGCTGCTGAGGACGGCGTCAAATGGCTCGACAGGATTTGGAGACAAGATGTCTTCTTTCGTGACATCGCAGTGTTTGACGGGAGTCATTTTTTCGCGGAAGGTTAGCTGATTTTCCATCCATTTGCTCCTATAAATACCAACAGTTATGAAAGGTTAACAATTATGTGGCGTTCACTTGGATCAAATACACATAAATACTTGTAAGTAGATGTTTGTCATCGTGAGACACAAGAACCATGCAAATGATGTGCTCTTCTTTTAATAGCAGCTCCATTTCATTGCTTGATAAAACCACCTCTAATTTTTTTTATTTATCATTTAGCAAATAACATAATGGCAAACAGAATCGTTTTTTTAATGAAAAAATTAACGCGCTTGTACCTTTAAAAATATATTTTTACCATCTTTACAAAAAAAGATGTTATATACTTCTTCCATAGGAAAGGCCTGTAGTGCTAGAATATTGTAAATGGTTCTAATTAATGGAATAATTGGTTAAATCATCTTAGTGACCATGATTATATATACGATGGTACCTCTTTATTATGTTGAAAAAAATTGTATGATTTTACTTTCACTTTGGTGGCTAAAGAACCCTTTACACTGGACTGCGTTTCCACATCCTTTGGTAGGCCTACGGTCCCGTTTGAGAGTAAAAAAAATATTTACGTGTCGACAACTGGCCGATCATTGAGCATTCATTCTGCAACCAAAGCAATGCTTGTGTCTCCTTTCTACAACCACAGCGATGCCAGTTTCCTGGTGGCACAAAGGATGCAGAAAGGACGCCGTCCAGTGTAAAGGGGGTTTAAACGATTGACGGAATTGCAGGAAATTGTTACAGCTAAAGGTAGAGGTTTTTGAGCACAAGTACATTTACACTTAATGGAATTTTAAATGCTTTGCCGTTTGAATCTTAGAATGCGCCACCCGAACACTTATTTATTTGTTTATTTTTTAAATTTTAACTTACTCATCTCCGTCCAACTTGGCATGGTATTTGAAGTGTGGAGACCAGTCGTGGGCGGTGTCGTCTGCTGCCCACCATTTCACCAGCTCATCTCTGTTACACTTGGCGTACTCACTCAGTGTGATCCTGTCGAACCATTTGGCGCTGGGAATAAGATTGGCAATCACCGGCCCTGATCCTATTTCCAAAATGCGGCGACCTGTGATAGTCCCTGCAAATAAAAAAGAAGTCTCGAGTTCAAAGTTTTTTATCGGTCAGTGTGCCTCTACTTGTAATATCGCCATTGGAAAGCCATGAATAATTCGTCTTTCACAGCGAACTAGCTTGACTTACAGGTTCTGTATAAGTAAAATAATAAAAAAAGCAAAACAAGAAAACAAATATTGCCCCCAGGACGCCTTCTAGAAGGCCTAGACATCCCCTCCCCCCTCCCCCTTCCCCCCCCCCCCCAACACAAAGACTTTTTAGGCACGTCAAACATAAGTGCAGGGAGCATTTTGTAGGTGAGGGTATTAGCAGAAGGGGGTGACAATGTACTACACTGTAGTATACGATCGGGGAAATCGTACCTGAGGAAAATATTTTATGAAGAGTTTTCGGTATGAACATTGGTGAAGTGGGTTCTTCCGGCGTTCCTTCGAGTATGCACGATTTTAGATATTCTTCTGCACTGAATTTCTTCTGGTAGTCCTCTCCAAATAAAAGCATGTTGGTCATATTGTGTCAATATTAATTGTTGCGATCAGATGTTTCGATCCTTTAAGCCGCGTTTACAGCAAGCTGATCCTTCCACGAAATGTAGGTAGCTCTTCCAAGTCTCGGGCGTTATTTTATCTGCATAGGTGGCCTATCTGTGTTCTTACCAAACTTTGATGTCCCTGTAATAATAAGGATAATCATAATTAATAATTAATTTTTGACGTGCAGCTAAGTCGAGCCAAGCAAGTCAAAGCATTTAATATTTTCACTCTCTTCGCCCCCTTTGTATGGATTCAAGGTGCACTAGCCAAACAGTATACCTACATATTCTTGTGTTTGTAAAGGTTTTTTAAATGGGCCGTTATTGTTGATCTGACCTCATTTATTGCAGGTCCCTTTTAACTTTGCATATATTGATCCTCGGGACGACCGAACATGGAGTTACTATTTTTACTGAGGTACCATACGCTATATACACACGTATAAGAAATCTAGCTGGGAATACTTCGAATAAGTAGGTAATTTGTCTCGATATTGACTTCATGGACGAATTTCATGTTAGAACTTACAGTTTAATGTCAACTAAGAAATTAGAAGGAGAGTTTTTCAACCATTTTTGCAAGTGCACTGATAAGCACAACAATGACAAGCAAAAGCGACGGAAATTCCCATTGCTAAAAATAATCCTTATCGTGTCCTTACAGTGACACTGAAACTTATTCGCCATTTTATAGTGAATTTTCGCGTTTGTAACATTCTCAATTATTAGCAAGGGGGAATGGTTGTATTTGTTTAACGTTTACTTTGACAGTGCCCAGTTTTATTTTGAAGAAGATTAGGCCTGCGAAAAATTTCAAACTTGCAGTCCAATCCTGCTGCCGGACACCAAAATAGTTACAGTTCCTTTAATCTTTTTCAGCCGCTTTAAGGAGGTTTGTAAGGATGGATGCCACCAGACCAGAGTATATCCACAACCATCTGAGCCTTGACTTGAAGAATGAGATCACCAGAGATCAGTTTAAAGCCATAAAACAACTGCTCTGGGGCACAGTGGGGAGGGCTCAACTGGAGGAAGCAGAAGATGTGTGCCACGTGTTTAACCTGATGTTTGACAAGGGCATTATTTCAATTGGAGAGTATGGTGTACTGAAGAGATTGGTGAGGGATGCTGGAATAGGAAGATTGGTTGGTGTCATTGAAGAGGCAGAAAACAGAATAAGGACGTGTGAGTATTAACGTACCTTTATTTGGTATATGACAGATAAAGTGTATGTATTTCTTTCTCCTCATTCTCTCTCTCTCTCTCTCTGCGTGTGTCTGTGTGTGTGTGTGTCTGTGTGTGTGTGTGTGTGTGTCTGTGTGTGTGTGTGTGTCTGTGTCTCTGTGTGTGTGTGTGTGTGTGTGTGTGTGAATGATGTGTTAATCCTACGGTAAGTTCTGTTATCTTTCTTAAGATTCTGTAATATTTTCAACAAATTGAGCTTTTACAGCTGATTTTTGTCTTTTGTCACCTCCAGATAAACCAAATGAAAACCAGGCCAAGAAGGAATAATTAAGGCATTCTGGCTCCCTTGCAGCAATAGCATCACTTTGGAGAAACCTCAGCTGAGACACTAACTTTGTGGGCATCTTAACTAATTCACGCAAGTCTGTAGGTTTTGTGTCTTAAATTTCTGAAGCGCACATTCAGAAAACCATAAAATTTTACACAGACTGTCAGAGCAGGTCGTATAGTGCCACAGTATTGTAACATCGTGCCAGAATTGGGGTAGCAAGCTGCCATTGCCAGACAAGTCAATGTGACCCAAGGAACAGTGTCTAACGTGCACCAGAGACAATGCCCATAGCCGTGCCCAGACTGGTGAACATACACAGAGCCATATCCTGTCACCGGACGAGAAGACCGCTTGCTTGAACCGTTATGTAACAACAACTGTCCAAAAACAGATCATGTCATGCTCTGTAAAATATGAGTGGCAAATTGCAGATCAAATCCTTACAGTCACACCTCTGAATGTATGGATGCCTCACCGAGTAGGGATCTATAGTCAGCCGTGCTTTCAGAGGACAAACTCTGACTGATGTATGGAACACAATTGCCACACCAAATCCCCAGAAAATTGTCTGAAGGAATGCCTTGCCGAGTGAGGGCTCTGATTGTAGTCAGAGGTCGCCTATGTTATCAACTGTTGCAATCTGTTGAATTTGTCTTAATAGTTCTTTGCTGTGAGAGAAAATCCAGATAGCCTGATATTTTGAAAATATTGGATTCCCAAGAAAGCATGATCCATGTGTTATTTTTAAAGATGTTTTAATACACTGATGCTCATAAGTTAAGCAACACTTTCTAATTTCTCAAATTTCTCAGCAACCAAGCTTTTTATTAAGGCAAAATCTGTACAGTAGCTAAACATGTATCTCGTTCTTACTTTGAACTAGTGGACCGTGACATTTGAGTACTATTTACTGTTGGGCAGGGTAGAATATGCAATAGGGGTGCCACTTGCGAAAAACACAGTTTGGGCATGCCATGCGGAGCTTCCAATTTGGCTGGTTTCATGGGCACAATTTGTTATATTGTACCAACCAATGGTTAGAAGAAGACTCAACGAGGTAATCAGATGGCAAATTATAGGAAGCCATCTTGCTGAGGTGCCAGAGAGACAGATTGCAAGGCAATAGAGAGTAGCACCAAGTCAAGTGTCCAAGCTGGTAGCAAAATGGCGCCAAACTCATCATGTTTTGGACAAGCCTCTTTCTGGTAGAACGAGATTAACCGACGCAAGTGTTAGAAGATGTTAGGTTCAACTACGCCACCAGAACCGGTCCAAACAGCTGAGAAACATCTGGCCTGGATTAGGAAGAGCTCAAATCAGTAGGCAGACAGTCAACAGGCATAATTTAGACGCTGGACTTTCATTTAAAAAGCCTCCTAAAAAGCCACCTTCGACCAAAAGACACAAGCAGATAAGTTTGGCATAAGCCAGATGCCGAGAAAGATAGAATCTAAGGACTGGGTGAAGGGTCCTGTGGACTGACAAGAGCAGATTCACTTTGATGTATGCAGATGGTTGGCTGGGAGTCTGAAGAGGTCCAAACCAAGCGTTTCAGGATGATTGTGATCACCCATGTATTCAGGATGGCGGAGTACCCGTCACAGTATGGTGCGCTTTCTCATATGATGAAAAATTGCCACTGTACGTTATGCAAGGGAGATACACTGGTCAACCATACAGAAAAGAAATACCATTGGGGAGCTTGCAATCACACATTCAAGCAAATCCAGGAAGAAATATCATTTTGGTGCAGGACAGTTTGCCCATTCATAAAGCACGGTCCGTGCAAATCGCGCTGCAACAGCATGGTATTCCAAATTTGGATGGCCCTGCAATATTTGCCAATTCTCAGTGTAATTGAACATGCTAAAGATATGATTGACAGAGCAGTTAATGAGAGACAACCTCCAGTTGGAAACATAAGAAAGCTCCAGCAGGCAGTAATTTAGGAATGGAACAGGCTCACAATGCAAGATTGACAGAATTTGGTGGCAAATTGCAGGAGACATTGTGAAGCTGTTGTTCAAAAATAGGGAAGGCACACCCAATATTTATTGGATAATAGACGATTAATCATTTATTATCTACAGTCTTCTTTTATTAAAACTAATTCTTAGATGATTGAACTTTATTTTTTCATGATAAGCTGTTTTAATCAGCACGTACTTGATGCTGTGTGAGCATACTTTTTAGACACATGGTTTGGCCTATTTTGGTACTGTTTGGTTAATAACGTTATTTTGATTATTACAATAAGCTATGTGGTGTATTTCATTAACAGAAATATTCAATTTGAATAGGTTATTTATAAAATATGAAAGAAATATGCATAATTCCACTAACAAATGAAATAATGATCATGATAGAAGAAACTTTTGACAAAATCTGGGTGTTGCTTAACTTATGAGCATCAGTGTATATTTTCTGAGATTGATATTGAATGATTAATTAAATGCGTAATAAACATGATGGCGAGTTATGTTTTCATTTATTACCAAGACGGGGAAAATAAAAGAAATTTTATTTTGAAAGAAAATCCTCATTAGATGCCAAGTCTGCATAAGAAGGTCCCTTATAATCTTTGAAATGAGACACTAAAACCTTTTTTATCGGACACAATAAGAGAGGGTGGCAATCGATGAGGGGGGTCTTTAAAGCATGAAGCCATTTCTGAGGGCCCCATTGGGGGGGGGGCGGTAAACACAGTACACGAGAAATAAAATAATCATTTCACATACCACAGTAAATAAAATTTTATTCATATCTCAATGATAGTGTGTGTCAAAAATCACGCATCACCGGGTATAATGACTTTGTTTCACGAAGGGCGGAGGATAAAAAGTCGCATTCACGAGTCGGGGTGCTTCAAGAATCACGCTTAATAAAATGAACCTTTCACACACCTCGGGAAATAAAAAGGGCTTTCCCGGGTAACAATAATACCCAATGGGACCCTCACTTCTTTTTTAAATTCAGGACACGGTAATCATACATGACGTCAGGTCAAAATAAAAGCCTTATTCAGAAGCCTTTACAAATATTAAAATAGGTATGAATACCACTACTCAGGTGAAAGAGATTCATTGGACTTAGGGTAGACCGAACGTTGAGTTGCTTCCTCTGACACTGGACGTAGTAGGTCAACATTAGTATATATCATACATTATATGAACAGCACAGATACAGAAGTGGGTAAGTTGTCTTGATATTGATTACATATAGACATAGATTACATATAGATTACATATAGACATATATTTTATATCAATTCAGCAAAATATTGACAGGTAAAGGCGACGGAAATTTCCATGACTTAATAAAATTCCCATTGCTAAAAATAACCTTTATGAAGTCCTTACGATAATACTCAAACTTATTTGCCATTTTGTCTCAGATTTAAGAAAGGGGGAGTGATTGTTTAACGTTTACTTTAAATTTGACAGTGTTGGATTTCACGTTTAAAAAAGATTGGAGATAAGAAAACTTTCATTATCTTGTATTTTCCGATCTCTTAGTCGAGCACAAATTAAAGTTACAGTTTCTTTTTAAAGGGGGATTTTGAGATGGAACCAGAGCGGCCAAAGTACATTCACAGCCACCTGAGCGTTGAGTTGCAAAGGAAGATGAGAAAGCGTGATTTTTTGACCATGAAACAGCTTGCATTGGGATTAAAAGGTTGCGAAGCGGGAGAAATAGAGGCGGTAGAGGATATGCACGATTTGTTCAACTTGATGAATAACAAGGACATTATTTCAGTTGGAAACTACGAAGCGCTGAAGAAAATGGTGACGGATGCTAAAATAATAGTATTGCTAAAAGTCATTGAAGAAGCAGAGAACAAAATACATAATTATTGTAAGTATAAACGTGTTAGGTACGTGAAAGGAGATGGTTTACCGGTGCTCTTAGAGTGCACGTGTGTGTGTGTGTGCGTGCGTGCGTGCGTGCGTTCGTGTGTGTGTGTGTGTGTCATGAGTGTGTGTGTGTGTGTGTGTGTGTGTGAGAGAGAGAGAGAGAGAGAGAGAGAGAGAGGGATTACTCACCCAGGAGAGAGCACAGCGCTAAACAAGCAGCGGCCTATTCACTTACGATAAGGTCTGTTGCCTTTCATCTAGATTCTGTAATTTCTGTTATATTTTAATTGAATTCTTGAACTGATTTCTTACTTATTTTTTGTCTTGGGGTACTTGCAGTTGCAGCAAGCGCGCCACCGCCGAACATGTATATGTAAGAAGTTAAAGCCTGCCGGCCTCTCTACAGCAACGCATACAACTGAGAGCAGCATCGGCTGAGAGTGACATTTTGTTTCCTTCTACTATGACCATAGATTGATTTTTCACTAGATATTCACAGATATGTCTCTGGCCATTTATGAACTTTTTTCTGTGAGTGTTAAGTAACATACATTGCCTTAATTAAAAGGTATAAGGGGCGAATAAATTTAATTAAGTGAGTTTTGTTTGAGCGGGGGGGGGGGGGGGGTACTACGGGACCAGATCTTAACCTCCTTAGCCCTACCTGTAGCTGATCAAGGTATTAATTATTGGCGTCGGGTTCGGGTACCACTGAAGGGTGTACAATGCCATTCGGTAGGGTTTAGCACTATAATTCAGCTTGTCAGTGATGACGATAGAAATAACCGAAGGGGGAGTCAGGACCCCCCTTGACACCCTCTAAATCCGCCACTGCAGCAGGAAAGCAAGACATAGTGATACTTGTAGGTGATAAGTAAAGGAATAACATATCTTGTTCCCAAAATTCCCTATATTAAAAATAATGATTTAGAAAACACATTGTATAGCGTTTGAAATTAATAAAATGAGATTGAAAAGAAATCGAATCAAAAGGTCGAAAAGTGGTACGCACGCGTCATAGGTCCGTCCCTTAGCCCTTTTACTATGGTTTAAGTTTAATTTGTCAGTGATGACGATAGAAATAATCTGCCACTCTGTAGTGCCTTATCAAAATTTTCTGGTATGTACGGATTTTGAATTGTTAATTGTTGTATTTCTATTTTTTGCAGAATATCATTTTTTGTACGTTTCTACTCCAGTGTGATATATTATTATTAACCCTTCAATTTACTTTCACAAACTATTAGTTTATAGTATTGTTCATCTGTGTGATGTGAATGTTTTCTGACTTTTTATCATGGACAGTATAATTTCAAATCGTAATCACATCTATTATTTTTTTGATATTCACGTTTTAACCACATGTAAACACCAAAAAGAATGTATGTAAGAACTGTTGATATTGTAATTGTTCTCTATGACATCAAGCCACCACGAGTTTTGTGTTTGTCAATGCATCATAATGTATAGAATTGTTATTCTTATTGCCCTGTTGCATTATCCACTTCTTAAAATGTCTAAAGTTATGTTATCATACACCAAATATACATCAGCATTCCACTCTCCGATAAACCGGGCGTCTTTGTTTAAAATTGAGTATGTCGGAGGAAGTATATATATATGGAGTATTATAATTGTTCATTTTTAATATTTGGTTGGAGTAAATAGTTTGAACTGTACTTAGCATCCATAATGTTGTGGGGGTATAAGTACAGAATAGTATAGACAATACCGAGGTCAGGAGTGTACAATCCACCATGCTATGTGTGAGCAATTACTCCTCGTGTAGACCAATCCTGGCAAATGATCATGAAGTACTCTATGTATATATCCCTAAATAACTATTTGTGTAATAATAATGGTTATTCATATATGTATTTTTTATATTTAATATAGTTTGTTGTATTGTCTATGATTGTACCTTTTACTTGAAAGTGTGAATCAATAAAGAATGTGAATCTGAATAGCGGCTTATGTCTATCTGTACACCGTTTTTTTTTTTAAGAATTCGCTTTTCGTATACAAATCTCTTATTCTGGTAACAGAAATGGTTACTGATACCTAACAATATCATCATTTTTGTGTAGATATGGCAAAATAGGTTAGTTTCTTTTAAGACATTTTTAAAAATATATTTTCTTTTATACCTTTATTTATAAATATTTTCCTTTTATACCTCGGGAGATTATAGGTCTACTAGTGGTGGTAGATTTCCAATTGTTTCTATTTCCACCTAAAGAGAAGTTCCAACTTAAAAGTTGAACTCTGTCCCACCCACCCCAAACCACTAAGTTCCAATTTAAGACGCTCACTGCCTGCAAATAGAAGGGGTAGATATGCCCCCCCCCCCTCCTCCGAACAGTACATGTGCCCACTGTTTAAATCTAAGGAGGTCAAAGACTTAGCTGCCCAGCTTACGATGACCTCCGGTGCCCTTTTATAGCTAAGATCCGAAGCTTCCTTAATGTTTGGGTGAAAAAAACGTGTTTTTCGTCGACCAAGCTTAATGTGAACATATAAACGATTGCGGTGAGCTCTTTAAAAGCCATAATTGGATCCGTGGCGATGGGCAGAGTACGTTTACAGCTATCACCGCGGTTTTCTTCTTTGTCCTGGTGATATGGTTATCAAATAAATGAAACAAGACTGTGGTTCATAGTCCAACTAAGAAGATATTTTCTTTGAACGAGAAAAAGATCACATCAATAAGAAGCGCTCATTCCGGATTTTGGGCAAAAAATGGATTTTCTTGGGGTTAGCGACAATTCCCCATACTTACCTTCATGAATCTGTTCCGGCATTCACATTAAGTCCCTGTTTTTTTTCTTTGTTAAGAGAATAATTACAGACGCTAGCCATCTTTACAGGCCACGTGGTCAAGCACAGATTCCAGAATAATTGCGATAACCGCTGTTTTGGTGGTAAAATAGAATATTTGTTATTTCAATGAGTTGTTCACTATGTGAAATATGGATATCGAAGAGTTCTATAGCACGGCAGTGTTTTAAGTGTAAAACTAAAAAGTAAATAATTCATTTTCACAATTACTCACTAACTAACGACGCACAAACACTGATCAAATATAATAACATTCCGATCTCAAGTAAACAGAAGCCGAAGCCGAAGACCTCTATTGGTCAGCAAACGTGTCGCTTTAATTATTTTCTTTCATTTCACAATTATGACCATTATTGGTTATTATTATTACTATCATTTTAATAATCCCCTATGTTAGTGTACAATCCCTTTACTGTCAGCAGTGACTCAACGTGTTGATAAAACCTAACATACGGTATGGTTATAAAATACTTTCTTTATATAGGGGCCTATGTGTAACTATGTAACTGTTTTATAATTACTAATTGACGTAAAGTAGTTAGTTGTTATGGTTTTGATTGCACCTTAGATGTGAAGGTATAAAGATATTCATTCACTCTATATAACAAAATCACTTTCACATGTAATGTATTTCCATCAAAACATTGAAAACGAAAGTAGAAGCGAAATAGAAAACGTTACGTTACAATCTGTGTCAAAATTGACGAGAAGCGCAATTCTAACAAATCTGCCAAATCGCTGTGTATTAATATGCCAGTGTTAAGTGTCAATAAGTAATAAACGCGAAAGAACTTACAATACTCACTTGTGTCTTGCATTAAAACGGAACAAAATTATTGCATAACGTAGGCCTATTATATCCGTTTCACTAAAAATACTGAAGGTAAAAGCAATGTTCTTTTAAATAGCAATCTAATTAATACAATTGACAAATACATTGTGTATATGACTTACTTGACTTAGCGTATCTATGGTCGCAAACACGTCGTCCACATTCGCCTGTCTACGGCAAGAAGAGGAACAGTCTAGCGCGGTGGACGCACACAAGGAAATGCATCAGCCAATAAACTTTTCATTTTGCTCATTAAGCCGGCTCAGGTCACCCTTGACGTGCAAGGGTCAAAGGACGGATCCATCAGCCTCTGCTTAAACAAAATACCATCTGTCTACTTAAATATGTAAAGCAAAATTAGGCATATTGAATACATAATATGAAAATAATAATTTTGAAAAATAAGCTGTTGCAATGAAAGCATATGCCACTCAACCACCAAATTACATTGTGTGTTTTACCGCGGTGTTTTTTTTGTTTTTTTTTCTTAACTATTTTAAGGCATTTTGTTTCACGGATGCGCACAAGGATGTTGTAATCCTACCTTAAAAAATGCGAAAAAAAATTTCTCACAACCGTCATCGTTTGTAGTTGAGAGAAGTCAGGCAATTGCATTGTGTTAGTAGTGAAGCTATTCCGTCGCAATGGGTTGTTGTTTCTAGATTTGGAAAGTAGGTCGCTGTTTATCTCCCACTTATAACTCAGATCACTAGGACATAATAGCTGCACTACAGAGCGTGGTCGTCCCTGATCAGCTAGGAACCATGGCGCTCCCTGATAGTGAAGTGACTGCTTGCCTCTCTGAACCCGATCCATCAACGTCGGTGAGTTGTTCTTTTGTATCCATTCACACGATCAGGTCACAAACAAATGATGCGCAAATAGAAACCAAAAGCGTAGCATTTCAAGTAAATAAAGTCTGTAGTTTTGGTTGCCCTGGCTTGCATGTTGCTTACCAGTACTTTAACATTTTATTGTATAATCTGTAGCAATGGTAGTTTTTTATAATGTCAATGCTCTTGCATCACGAAATTTGGTGTTGACGCAAATTCACCTCATTTCAAATTCACCTTGAGTCTTGACAACTTTCCAAAAGATTTAGTGTTACATGTACAGAGTAACATTATTTCTATAGTAATTTCTAAAATATACTGAAGTGTTTAAGTTTCCAAAAGAAACAGAAGTGTATAAAGATATATGTGGTAAAATTACAGGTAGCTACGTAAGAGTAGACACCAGAATTGGGTGAGATCAGATCACACAGGAGTACACACGTGTACTTCTATTTTGTATACTGTTTTAGAGGCCTTGGGTTATCAGAGGACTGAGGACTGTCCCATATCAATATTATTCAAGACATTTGTCAAGTATTTGTGTCTTAGTACGTGGAACAGCAATGTACTAGTAAATGTTCCTAATTTATGTACCATGCCCTGTTTATGAGTGTCTGTAAGTGAGTATCAATATCACTGGCTCATTTGTGAGTGAACATTTCAGAATTAAATGTGAATGTGCAGAATTAAATGTTGCTGTTTTATGCACTGCATTCTGATTATGACTGTAAAACATTTAATGTGTTATTGTTTCCTCTGATTTTTGATAATTAATGCAGTAAAAGATGAAAGTATGTGCTTAAATGGTGCTTACTAGTAAATGTAACCTCAGACACCTGTTGAGGCAGTTAAGTATGATTACCTTGGTTGACAAACTAAAGTGATGGTTCAGCTACCATAGCATTATGATCTCTATACATGTATATATTCTCTAATATGTAGCTATTGAATCAGGTTTTTTTTTCATGAAAAGCAGTTATACCAGTGAACTGTAATTCAACACTTAAAATATTGTCATCAGTTCAGGACTGAAATCAGTCAAATGACCAAATCAAACTGATGACCTGCCAGACTGAGTTATGTAACTGTGGCATTCAGTGAATATCAGCTAGATATTTCGACAGAAATGGCATAATTATTGAATAGCTAGATGATAACAGACCCAGGGGATTATCTGATTAATCAAGATAGTCCAAACAATGCTATATTACTGCATTTATCATAGAATTTACTAGTAAAAAACTGTCCTGACATCAATCTAATCACCTAAGAATACAACATATGTTTTATTACAAGACTGACATGACATTAGATATTGTGGTCTTTGGTAAAACATGACAGTTCTTCAGAATTATCTTGTACACACATTTATAATCCATTTTACTGGTCACCTCTCTCTTTATTGAACTTCAGGGGTTTTATATGCAGCAAACCATGATGAGAATCAAAGATCCTAAGAGAAGTCTGCAGTTCTATACAGGAGTTATGGGCATGAGGTACAGGCCATGTTTACACAGTCTTAAGTTCAAGTATTGAAGATTTAGGCAGCTATGTTTTGTTCTAAAAATATTAATAAAATAAGATACTATGGCTATATCTCAAAAGGACTTACTAGTAATTCACTTTTGGTCAGACTTTTAATTTTATACATTTTGATCAAACCTTTAATTTAAGACTTTTGAAGAAGTTTGACTTCCCAGCCATGAAATTCTCATTATACTTCATGGGTTATGCAAAGAAAGAAGACATACCTGCTGATGATAGCGAGAAAATCAGGTTTTGCTTTTCTCAACTTGGGACAATCGAACTTACCCAGTGAGTTTTGCATTTCATATTTTATTCCTGCATTTGGAGTTAGTGTTCACAAAAAAGTAACCCGAACACCAACTAATACATTTTAACTGTTTTCCAACATTTCAGTTTTTAAAAAATGTTTGAAATACAGTGCACCAGATTAACCTTCCAGAAATTATTTTTACACAAAATCTTGTTTCGTAGTCAAACTTCATTTCTAACTTCAGATAGAAAAACTGAACATATTTGCAGAGTATAACCTAAGATCTAATAAACGGTATTTTAGATCTTAGGTATAACTGTGATTGAAAAAATAAAAAAAATCAGTTTAGGAATAATAAATGACCAAATTTATTTTCAGTAACTGGGGGACAGAGTCTGATGAAGAATTTGAGTACCACAATGGTAACAGTGATCCTAGAGGTTTTGGTGAGTTAGAAATATTTGAATACTTGATTTTATCATCCTTATGCTGGGGTAGCGCTAGCAATTTTTTTCGCTTAGCCAAATCACCACATTTTTGTCAATGTGTTATCAAAATGGTTATAATTTGGCTAAAACATGCCAATTCAATCCCTTTTTCTTTAGCCAATTTAAGTCAGTTTTAGCATTTAGCTAAATTGGCCAGTGTTAGCACTATCCCAGCTTATGTATGAGTGATCTAAGTTTTTATAAAGTTCATTAACTTTTTGTTGTTACTCTACATAGATATATGGTAATTAGTGATCTTTTCAATGGGCAAAAGAAATCCAACTTACAGATACAAAATTTTACAATCACAGAAATAACATTATTATATAGAATAGAACTATAAAGAAGTTTCAATTATGTTGCTACCACTCGATATTAATGTTCAAAAATTAAGAAATTATGACATCATTAATAAAGTTTTTGTAAAAGTCACAATTTCCCCATTGAAAAGATGGAGTAATTACTGTACATGATGACTTAGTGGATGGCTTGCTTGCATTTTTTTTGCAACATAGCACATTTCTCAGAAAATTAGTTTGGTAGCAGTGGTGATTTATTTGCTCATAGCCTTTTTGGCAAAATGCATGCAATATTTTATGTAAATTTAGGCAATGTATGTTTAAGACTTTGTGACATCTTTCCTATTTTCTCATGACTTCATTTCTGTTGAGTATCTGTTAATTTGTCAGCTTTACTGTTTAGAGTTTTTAGAGCTGTTGATTCGTTGTTTTGCAGGTCATATTGGAATATGTGTCCCAGATGTTGATGCAGCTTGTGAAAGATTTGAAAAACATGGAGTGTCATTTGTCAAGAGACCAAATGATGGTTGGTATTACATAAATCAGTGATAATGCTGAGATTAATAGTTGGCTTCTAAATTAAACAAGTTTTTCCAATGTTTTTTTAAATTATATTTTATCTAGTTTTTATGTTCTTCACTGTTAACTTTTTTTTTTTCAATTAGAAACAGGATTTTTGTTAAAGATTATAAAGAACCAAATTTTTACTGCAAAAGTATACAATTATTGGAAAACTTTACTTGGAATAGTAATAAATTTTTTGTGAAAATGAAAATATGTGGCCCTGTATTTTAGGGAAAATGAAGGGCCTTGCCTTCATAAAGGATCCAGATGGGTACTGGATCGAAATTCTAAATCCAAACAAAGCGGTACGGAGAATCGTAGACAATTTCGTAGACAAAAATCCAGGGTGTAGTGTTAGAGGTCACCCGAGTTTCAGTACAGACGTAATCCATGCCAGCTTCTTTATTTTCAAATATGTGCTCTGTGATCCAAAATGTGGAATTTTGAAAATAAAGAAGTAGGTTCACACTGAGTCTGAAAGTCAGGTTAGGCCATATCATCTCCTAATCAGTTGATTATCTCAATTCATTGTCACATGTGACTGGGGGTAATGGAAACAAGTAGTCACACTGGAGAGGGGTGGTGGACCCATGATAAGTTAGTTTATTGACACTTCTGATTAAATACCAACATACATTTGCCAAATACATTATCATACAAAACACTATTCCTTAGCCAATTTATCAGTGATTTGATGAGTAGTAAGTAGTTTGGCTAAAAGCAAAACAAAAAATTGTTTTAGTCCATGATACCAATCATCTACCTGCTGATTTACATGGCTTAATTTTGGCACTGTGGTGGATATTTTTCATTAATTTACTGGTAGAAAACAGATTTAGCCCAGACCCTCTGTTTGAGAAAGAGAAAAAGAGATAGAAGAGACAAGGGATCGTATTGATTACCAAACTCTTCAGTGCACTGAAATTAAAGGGATAACAACTGTAGTTATCCATATTTCACAATAAATGAATTGTAAACATCTCACAGATATGTAATAAATTCCATTTTACCACCAAAACCTGTGGTTAACGCAATTATTCTGGAATTTGTGCTTGCCATCACATCATTTGACCTCCATAGATGGCTACACTCTGTAATAATCTCTTAAGAGAATATTACAAAAAACCAAACTTTTTAGAAAAAAAAAAAAAAAACAAAAAAAAAACAGGGACTAACTTTGAATGTGGGAATGGATTCTTTAACCATCGGTAAGTATGGGAAAATTGTCCTTAACCTCAGGAAAATCCATTTTTTGGCCAAAATGAACAGTTGTTATCCCTTTAATATTTAAATCAGTTGTTTGATGTTATGCAACCTACCAGCGGTTATCCTACCCAAATAGTCCTATAATTATACTTCAAATTGTTGTACAGTATTTATATTTACTCTCTATATCAAACTGTATCATATTGTGTAAGTGGGATGAGCCATATTGTGTAAGTGGGATGTTATAATAGCTTGATAATACCATGTTCACTATGGTTTATATCATTCAAGTTCTTCCCTGTACATTTCTGGTATGAAAGTGAATGGTACATTTTAGTCAAATTATTTTCATTAAAATGGCAAGTGCACTTTGTTTTCTTCAAGGCAGTTTAAACATTTAAATTTCGTCATTCAGATTGTGTTTTGATAATGTTTTTTTCTCCTTTCTTTGGTGACTAACTCATGAAGGAGTGTCAGCTGCATTCGTTGTTCACAAAATATTCTTAAACCAACATTGCTATGTACACTATTTGGCTAATATTTGATTTTAGCAGACTTTGCAAAGGCCATAGACTAGAATTTTTTTTTTTTTTTTTTTTTTTTTTGTGTGTGTGTGTGTGTGTGTGTGTGTGTGTGTGTATACCATGCCTCCAGCATTAATCTAATGTGGTTTTTGTTGTCATTCCAGGGAAGATGAAAGGTCTGGCCTTCATAAAGGATCCTGATGGCTACTGGATTGAAATTTTGAATAAAGATAACATGGTGAAGGGAGTTAAATTCAATGATTAGACAGTCAAAGTGCCACTGCATTTCAAGACATTTACCTGGATTTTTTTTTCTTTGAAAAAAGAAATTTTTCTTTCACTTTCAGCTTTGCTGCTGATATTGTAAAGAACAAATGTCCAGAAGCACTGTTAATGCTGCACCAAATTGTTGCTATTCAATATAAATTGTTGTGTTTACACTTCTTAATGATGGAAGTGATGAAAAGGAAAATGCCTTGAGCTGTTTTTACATCATGTGTACTGATTTTTTATATTCAAAATTTGCAATAAAGAGCTTTAAACTGCAATAACCTCTTCTTTTCTTTTCATGTGTGCGTGTTTGGAGTGTGTCTGTGTGTGTGTGTGTGGTAGGGAGGATGTCTTGGGAAGGGGTAAAGACTGTTTTTATTCTGTTTTACACCTCGCCCACTTGTACTGGGGCTTGTGGTTACAGATGCTCACAATGTTTGACAACTTTTACTCTATCAGGAAAATGATGAACCAAGAAATGAATTGAAGCACCTGCTGTAGTTAGCCTTTATTATTATTATTTAAGAATCAATTCAGTTGCTAAATGTACAATTCATAAAAACTATGGGTGCACTCTTTTCATGGCCACAAAACTGACAATGTAAATTGTAACTTGAATTTTTTTTTGCTTCTACTCTGCCTAATATCATACACCAATATTCCTGTAATTTAAGAGCAAACAGACCTTTTGTGCTGTAGATCTACATTACTCAAACAGCTGCTACAGTTTACACAAGATGCAAAAAAGACCAAGAAAAGAATTATTACATCTCTTTTTTACTGCCTTTGTTCATTTTCTTCAACTTTTCTAAGCTGTACCAGAAGCTTTTCATGATCCCAGCTGTCCATATACTTTTTGCACTCTGACTCCAACTAGAATAGCTCACAATTTTAGACACACAATTTCCCACCACCTCTCCACACTCGTAATCCTTGGCACATATTCTTAAAACTTCCTCCGCATCTCTTGTCCGCTTATCCCTGTTGTAAAAATCAACTAATCTCTCTTCAAGTGTCTTTGGCAGCAGACTTAAATGATGGAAAATTGCTGCTGGATCTTTCAGCTGCTCCAGTCTTCCTTGTGACTTACACCAATTCACATTATCCTCATGGTCGAGGATTCCTTCATACAGCTCCCGGAACTTTTCCATATTTGGTTTGACAATATTTCTCACCTTGTTCTTGTCCTCACCAATGACCATACGAAAATCCCCAGAATAGGAGAGGTTACAGATGGTGCAGTAAAGCTCCTCCTCAGTGAAGTGTTCTGGGAGGATAATTAATGCCGTATGCACTGCGCTGGCCAGGTTAGTATGAAGAGCTGCCTTCAGGTTCTCTCCACTCGGCTCCTTAAGGATCATCACAGGTTTGTGGAGCCTGCCGCCTACATACAGGGTGTCCCAGTCTAACAGGTCTGCAGTCAGCCGTCTTGTGCTGATTACACCATACTTAATCAGCCTCTCCTCACACATGACACGTGAATTAAAATAAACACCAGCACCATGTTTTTCTTGTATGTTGGCAACTCTTCGGCTGCCGAGATATTTCAGGAAGGAATAATGAGAGCGATTTTTAGCAATGTTAGCACGGTGCCACTCCACTGGGTCATCCACTACAAAGAAGAAATCTAGCATGTTTTTGGTTGGGTCTGTATGCCCCAGTTGTTTGAAGACCCCTGAGCCATATGCAAATGCCATGTTCTGCTCTGGGAAGTGGGAGATAATCTGTTTATACAACTGTCTTGCTGCCATTTTTATGACCTGATATCCTAGAAGATGATGTCTCACATACACAAGGAGATATAAAACTGATCCTAAAAATGAGAGAGATATCCTTTTTCAAAAACTCCTTTTGTTATGTGTTACTCAATGGACTGCAAAGTATGTGAGTGATACTGAAATAATGTCACACAGACTATTAATTAATTATCCACGTTTTGGTCCTTCATAGAACACTCCACCCCCTTGGACCCCAGGGGTTTTCAGTGTCTCCAGCTGGCGTTCTCCTCTTCTCAACAGGTAATCTATGTGCATAATGTTACTCTTGGGTACTGCTGCATTTTTCTTAAACTCACTGCGAATCATATTCTTGAGACCTGGTTTTCCTTTTGTGGCTGTAAGCATATCTCTATACAGACTGAGAACTCGGAGCTGTACCTTGCTGTATCTGACCATAGTTTCTTGTCACATAAACATTTTGCAGGCAGATTTCATGCAACTGTGCTTTGCTGAAAAGGTGATCAATATGAAAATCTAGTTAATAAAAAATAACATAAGCATACATACCAGTATAAATGATGTTATATAAAAATACACATAGAATACGTTTCTTATGTCCGAGAATTTGAGATCTGATAGGACTCAATACTGACAGCTGATGTTACCACCAAACTAACAATGACACGTGATATAATCTGTGGTTTTAAACAAATCAAAGTGAAGGAAACGTACTCAGTATATCATCAAATTGAAGATTGGCCAATCCGAGTAATGGTAACATTAATCAATTAAACAACAAACAATAGCAGATAACAGCAATGTTGCAACTTTTGCCAGTTTTGATGTTCTCTTTGAGAATAATAATTTAATAATTTATTCAGCTTTGAATGTTACAATTTAACATTGTTTGCTGTCTAGTCTACTACAGAATCTACCATATTGTACTTACATAAAAAGAGAGAAAGTGATATTTCATCGTGTTGCTAACTGTATATACTGTGATAATGCTTTTAGTGATTTCTGATCTTGAGGGTTGAGGAGGATGAATAGTTTCTGATCACTGCCTGCTAATTCATAATTTTGTCTCACAGTGTTTGGGAGGGAACTGAGCATATTTTGTCGCTCTATTTGGTATTTACTACATGTGAGGAAGAAATGTTTCTCATCCTCTATTTCCGTTTTACAGCTTGTGCAGGTTCTTTGTTCCAGGGTGATTTTCATGTGCCTGCCTTTCTCTATCGCTAGCTCGTGGTCACTAATTCTCATTTTGGCTAAGTATTTTTTGCCTGAGCTTGTGGCGTTCATTTTTAAGTAATTTTCAAGATCGTAGGAGTTTTTTATTTTTCGATATGTACGCAGTTTATTGTGGTTCTCCTTGTTCAATTCTTTCCAAAAAAGGTCTTCGATTTTTAGATTAATTTCTTTTTCTAGGTCTGATGTTAACCATTAGGTCTTTAAAATTATTTAATAAAACAATTGTTGCCATTTGACTTTGGTGAACATCAGTCTTCTGAGGGCTCCAAAACAATAAACTGGCCACAAACAATGTCAATAACTGTACCAGTAAAATTTAATTGTTTTGATAATAAAAATGGAATACATCAATTTTTCATTCTAAATAATCAATGAATCATATTTTTTACATAGAGTCTACGGCAAAGAGCAGAGGAGGGTCTCTACAGGCGAGAGGAAACTCACTCGGTTTGCAAGTGAGGGTGTGAAACATGGCCGAATCGTGTCTAATTATTACGCTAGAAACAAACAAATCTAAATATTTTCCAAGACTGTAATTTTTACAATTTTTTGACGATGCAAAGTATGTTTAGAGTTTTATGACTTACCAGTGCAAAGATATTCTTATTTAACCTGACAAGTTCCCATTACATACTAACATAGCACGTTTTGCTTGAAGACCGCTAACAACACTTTAAAATAATATCCTGTTCTGAATTTATCACTCTTGATCTTTAACTGCCAAGTAAAGTTCGTAAATTTTTGTTGAATCTTAAATGCAAAAATTTATGTTTAAATGAATGACTGATTAAAATAAGTATATAAAACACGATAAAAACGGAAGATGTTTTAAGCGGCCATAACCTAATTTCCACTTTCACGCTGCTACTTTCACGACGTGATCATACTTCAATCTCTTAATGTTTTTGTACTGAAAATAGTACATTATTGCCCTTTTTGTCATAACAATCGTTCCCATTCATAAATATCATTATCTGGGTAATGGCTGATGATGGTATAGAAGGTTTTGTTGCAGTGCATGCAGGTATTTGATGACAGAATTTTCAGTTCTGTTGCACCCTTTCACTGTCCTCTCAGTGCAGTGTATCAATATTTATAATACTAATAGTAGGAACGAGTGGTTAAATGTAGCTGTTGTACAGTGGTAATATTACAGTATTCATTGAGTGGAAAAATTAAATTGTCCAATTGGCTGATCCTGTGATTTTGTGGTATTTGCATTTTGTTTATTTTAATAATTAAAATAATTACACATACAGGTATTTTTACTTTAGCATTAGCATTACTAGTATTCTTATTATTCTAGTTTAATAATTAAAATATTTACACATAAATGTATTTACTCATACATGTATTTTTACTTTAGCATAATAATCACTAGCTAATATTCTTATTATTCTAGTTTTGTAGAATTGGCTATACACCAAATTAAATACAGATCATTGTGTGAAAAGATCATCTACATATTTGTTCTGAGTCACTGATTACTCTTAATTTACACGTAAAATTTTGTTTGAGTAAAATGGTAAAAACAGTAATATTGGTAGTACAATGTATACATATTACCGTCTATATACACTGTTGCTAGTCGATTAATTTTGGTTTGTAATTTACAATACGTTTCATTTGGCATCATTTGATATGTTTACATTTAGGAGCAGGGTTTCACTCACCAAACAAAACACAGCTGTATTCAGAAGTTTGTCAGCTTGCATGCAAAAAGGTAATTAATTAAGCCAGCCAGGGCATTTATAGTAGCTCCTGTAATATATGTTTTGATCATGATAAAGGATAGTGCATAACTAAATTTCTCTTTTCCAAGTGTAATGATTATTTTTCATTCTGTACGTGTAAAATTCTTTCAATTGAACCACATAGTGAAAACTGTGAATAGGTATTGATGCAGGTCTAACTCACAGATAAATCATTTGTGTGTGGGTTTAAGTGTTCAAATGTTTTATGGTCCAAACTAAAAAAATGTATGGTTTGAAACTGTTTTATGTGTTTGTTTAGAGGTTCATTGGTTTTATTTTTGAAAAGCAAATTTTACCAGAAAAGAAGCAAAACATTGGCACTCTCTGGCTGCTGGTGGTGATGATTTAGAGATGTTTTCATGACCTTTAAGACAAGTGAAACTTTGGATAAATTATCTTTAAAGACTGAACAACCTGTGTTGCACCCATTGAGCATTTTATGTCTGTTTAGGCAGCAGAAGCTCTACATGACAAGAAATCTGCCCTTGATGCTGTTGTAATGGCAGTGACTCAACTAGAAGTAAGTGGTGACATTTGAGATAAAAATATAAGTAAAATTTCTTCACTGGTAGAAACTTAGGATAAAAACATCATTATATTATACAAGTATAATGAGATGTTTTAAGAATAAAAGTTATCAAAAAAAGGTAAGATGAATAAATACGATGTAATACCATTTGATGCAAATTGGGACACTTACATTTAAAGTTTAATATTTTATTTTTCTGCACAATTTAGATATGAGTAGTTGCCATTATGTTTGTGTTCCAGAACAGTGCGTGTACCAACGCTGGGATTGGTTCTAATCTGACACTAGATGGCACTGTGGAGTGTGATGCAAGTGTTATGGATGGCGCTTCTCTAAAGTTTGGGGCTGTAGGGGCCGTGGAGAGTATGCTCACATTAATACATTATGATCACTATTGATTTTTGTCCTGTTAACAGTAATACCAATGATAAACTGGTGGGGGGGGGGGGGGGTCAAATAAATTTCATTTCTATGTCTATTAGCAAAGTATTATTATTCAAGTAAAGTTTACAGCATATTAAGTGTATATGTCAGTGTCAGCTTTATGAGTTTTGTCTCACTCTTGAGTGCCTGTAAATTGAAAGTAATATGTCTTGTTTTATAGGTATTAAGAATCCTGTGAAGCTTGCGAGCTGTTTGTTGACAGAACAGAAGAAGGGATATTTATCTCTTGGCAGGGTGCCACCGTGGTGAGATGGATATTAAAATAATTATAATAAAAAAATTATCAAAATAGAAAATGTTGCCTAAGGTGGAATCTTTCTGATTTATCTTTTAGTGTTTCAAAGGCAAAATAAAAAAAATGATGTGGATTGATGTGCTTTTATTTACAGTGGAGTAGTAAATTTATCAATTTTCCTGATTTCTTATAAATTCTTTACTGACTGTGTGCTACAATTTTGTGGAAAGATAAATATCAGATCTTGTAATTTAGCATTGCAGGTTTGATAATTAGCACAGTTTATATAAATATTAGGTCTTGTAATGAAGCAATAAAGGTTTGATAATTATTACAGTTTATATTAATATTAGGTCTTGTTATTTAGCAATGCAGGTTTGATAATTATTACAGTTTATATTTCAGTTTTCTTGTTGGCAGAGGAGCTGTGGCATGGGCTGTTGAACACAATATAGAAGTGGTAGAGAAGAAGGACCTCATCACAGGTCAGGATGGCAGCTAGGGGCTGGTTGACAAAAAAGTTGTTCACTAAGCCACAGTTTTGTCCATATTTAGGCATGTTTACCTATACTTGGAAAATTGACTGAAATTACCATGTAAAAATAAAGAAATGGTTTGCCTGGCTTCATTCATTAGAATTATTATTTTTGCCTCTAATTATCCTTTCCATAGATTTACCAAGTGCTAGATATCTTTTTTATCTCCAGACTCCTCTCTGCGTTCATACAGAGACTATCAGCGGAGACTGGACAGAGCAGAAATGGGACTGGTGGAGCCCAAGAAAATGAAGAAAGATGTCAAGATGGTGGAGGTAATATCCAGTTATAACTGACATTGAGAGTGATATTGACAGTTAAGTTGGAATTCATTATAAGATTTTATGTCAACATAAACATTTTTTGTTTTGCATTTACATATATATTTACAATCTATTCCCTTTCTTCTTATTTTGATGTGTAAAATAATGTTTAAAAAAAGTTGTTAATAATTTAGGGAATTTCACCAGAGTGTATAATATCCTCCTTAATGGGCAGTCTCTGTTCTAAATATCTAATATGCAGCAATTATTTTAATTTAATTAATATATCATTTTTGAGATAATGTTATTCTTTTTACTTAAGGAAGATGACAGTACATTGTTGGACACAGTGGGGGCTGTGTGCCTCGACTGCCAAGGAAATATGGCGGCTGCCGTGTCTAGTGGGGGAATAGCATTGAAATGTCCTGGCAGGGTGGGACAGGTATGTTAACACTGAAATATTAAAATCATAATTTACAATATTATCTTACGTTCAAATTGATATAAAGTTGCTGGGGTAGCGCTAGCAATTTTTTCACTTTGCCAAATCACCACATTTTTGTCAATTTGTTATCAAAATGATTATGATTTGGCTAAAACATGTCAAATCAAGCCCTTTTTCTTTAGCCAATTTACGTAAGTTTTAGCATTTGGCTAAATTGGCGAGTGTTAGCGCTACCCCAGAGTTGCAAAACCATTGTAAACATTTGCTTTCTTAAAGGTACATATGAATTGAGCATTGATGGAGCGTGGATTCCCAGTAACACATATAAACCACTTCTACTAGTTTCTTATACAACTCAAATAAAAGAGTTGAAAACTGACACTTCTTTAAATTTATGGCTGTAAATTTGACCTACTTTTCTGACCTTCTTTATCTGCCCAGTTTTGTACAGCACAGTAAGCAAACAAAAATTTGTTCAAATATCCTTTTTCGGCTAATATGAAACAATATCTTTCGGTGTTTCTTTAAGTGATACTATTTGAAAATATGTGTTGACATTTGGTCGACTTTTGTAGCAAAAAATTGAGTTCATATGCATCTTTAAGTAATTGTTGTAAGTGTTATTGAAAATGAACACGGCAAGTATGCAAATTTGTCACTGCTTCTTGTATGATGATGATGATGATGGTTTTGTTTACAAATGTATCTCATTTGATTTAGAAACTGAATTTTCTATATTCTGTTTCCCAATAATTAGGCAGCAGTGTTTGGTTGTGGGTGCTGGGCTGATAATATCAAAGATGTCACACCTGGCGTGGCAGTCAGTACTTCAGGTAAATAGGTCTTTAAAGTCAAAAATATATACTTAAAAGTACTTACAATTATTGATTATAATGATTTGTACTTTTGTCTTTCAAATAAATATTGGCAGCTAAATGACTTTTAACAAATTGTTTCTTTGCTCCATTTTTTTTAAAACACGCAAAAAAATTTTCCTGTGATCATTGCGCTATGGAACAATGACAGAAGTCCCTCACCCTCACTTTATTAAGCCAGTTTTGGGTGTCTTTCAGGCTGTGGAGAGCACCTCATCTACACCCAGCTGGCCAGGGAGTGTGCCCTTGAGGTCAGGGGAGCAGACGACATTTCACAGGCTGTGACAGATGTTTTCTCCAGGCAGTTTATAGGTAGTCAGGTTTACATTTCACAATCACAGGCATTATATGACCTATGTATGCAAGAACATTTTTCTGCATTTTTACTGTATAAAAGATTGGGGAATGGTTGCTGGGTTTCATTTGAAATGTTCTGAAGGGGGTAAAATTCAGTGGAAGGGGTTTCTCTTTCTTTTAGCAAGAGCAGACCTGTAGCAGTAGGCATAGCTAAAAGGTAGGTAGTCCAAAGTTTTGTTGGTCCAAAGGTTCATTGGTTCCAAAAAGAGTATGTATTCACCTTTGATGAACTTTACCAGTAACTATACACTGAAGTCATGCATTAATTAGACCAACATATCTTTGGAGCAGTGAACCCTCTGGCTATTGCTACAGCCCCCTTTAGCCATGGTTATTGCTACAGGTCCCTTTAGCCATGGCTATTGCTACAGGTCCTTTTAGCTATGCCTACTGCTACAGGTCCCTTTAGCCATGGCTATTGCTACATGTCCCTTTAGCCATGGCTATTGCTACAGCCCCCTTTAGCCATGGCTATTGCTACATGCCCCTTTAGCCATGGCTACTGCTACAGCCCCCTTTAGCCATAGCTATTGCTACAGACCCCTTTAGCCATGGCTATTGCTACAGCCCCATTTAGCCATGGTTATTGCTACAGGTCCCTTTAGCCATGGCTATTGCTACAGGTCCTTTTAGCTATGCCTACTGCTACAGGTCCCTTTAGCCATGGCTATTGCTACATGTCCCTTTAGCCATGGCTATTGCTCTAGGTCCCTTTAACTATGGCTACTGCTACAGGTCCCTTTAGCCATGGCTATTGCTCTAGGTCCCTTTAGCCATGGCTATTCCATACTGTGTATCAGGTTTATATTCAGGACCTATTCTTATAGCTTTATGTGGTAAGCTGATTGATCTTTTTATCTCAATACAATGGGTTTTCTCATTGTTACAGAATCTGATATGTTATCCGACCAGCTAGCTAAGAACGGTGGTGCTATAGTTTTAAAATTTAATTTAATTTAATTTATTTAATTTTTACAGAATCTGATATGTTATCCGACCAGCTAGCTAAGTACGGTGGTGCTATAGTTTTAAAACTTAATTTTATTTATTTAATTTTTACAGAATCTGATATGTTATCTGACCAGGTAGCTAAGTATGGTGGTGCTATAGTTTTAAAATACTCAAGTAGTGCAGCAGAAAGAAGAGAAGGTGAGTCTGTCCTGTGTTTTCCCTCTACTCAACTTTTGGTTTAATTTAGTAGGAACATGGCTTCCTTTTAATACCACATTAAAACCAGATTCTAATATTTGAAATCACCAGGTCAGTGTGACCAATAGCCAGAGTTGTACAAAGAAAAGAAAGCAGTTTTATAGAGATGTTAAAATAAGTGAAATATCTTGATATTGACATTGCAGTTGAACTAGTTTGGGCCCACACTACAGAAAGTATGTGTATAGGTTATATGAAGACGGGGGAACATAAACCAAAGGTAAATTTTGAATATGTGGATCAATGAAAGGAATCTGTAAATGTAATAGTATTTTTTCACGACTTTTGTATTGAATATTTGGTGTTACTTTTAAGTCAAATTGAACTGTTTTCAAATAATTAATCAATTTAAAATTCTGTTGATGGAAACAGATACTTTGCATGTTTAAATTATACATTTTTGAAAATGTTTAATTTTCTAATGTATTTGTTGTCACAAGACTATTGTTTCAAAACACTCCCTGTCCTCTTCAGGTACATATCAGCCGTATGCCGTCCACCTCTACCGTAGGACAAACAACCTCTGTAATGGGAAAATATTTTCATCTCAGGTAGCAGGACCACAATGAAGAAATTAAAAGGAAGTAAAATCTGAGTCTATGAATATTTGGTCAGGCCAGTTTGTGCATGGTAAATAATACTTTGACTTCTATATGAATGTTAGTAGCTAGGAAGAAAAGTGTAATATTCAGTGTTGTTGCAGCAGAGGCAAAAGCAACTTTGAGAGCAACACTGATCCAAGAGGGCTGAAAGTATTGGTAGCATTGAACAATATATTAATGCCGACACAGCTACAAGACGGGAGAAGAAGATGGCAAAGAACTCATTATCCAAACCATTCTCAAGACTAATTTTTGAATAGTGATTAATTCCTTAAAGCTGATGTTTTTCTTTTCTCTATCAGCAACTTGTTTCTTTCTGCATGATCACTTAAAAATCTATAATGCATTAATATTAAAATAGTAGTGTCTCGTGTTAAAGGATATATGAGACCAATATTATTTAGGTATTCATTGTATTTTTTTCCCTTAAAATCTAACATTGATGACTCTTAGATCCACCCTGAGCTTCAGAGATAACTTGACACTTACCTCTTCACAATAGTCTATCTTCATCGTGTCAAGTTACCTCTGACCACATTCCATTGCCCCCGCCGCCCACCAATCAAATTTAAATCCCGCACTCAATGACTCATTGAACGATCTAGCCAATGAACGCGAACGAGTCAAAGCGCGCTTTGTTCAAATCCAGACTAATCAAAGATAAGGCTGAATATCAGGGACTTGCCGTAACCTGTGGGCAGCACGCAAAATACATCATCCCTCAGTAGATAATGATGCAGGGCCTCAAACTGCTCTGGTTTTAATTCCGATATACTCATATTTTGCAAAGAATCAAGAGATAACTTACCACATAATTTTACGTAGTCACTCGTAGGAGACGCCATGCTTTCTTTGTGTACGGTTATGCACTCGGAACTACTCGGATGTCTCCGCACTCGACAATAACTTTGTTGTTAGTATGGAGCTTGCGGAATCAGCCGAGGATTACCGATTGACGGTCAACCAATCAGCGTTTTCACCAAACTTTGGTGAAAAATTTTGAGACTTGGATTCGATTGGCTTATATAAACTAGGTCAAACTATTTTCGTCAGAGGTAACTTGACACGATGAAGATAGGCTATTGTGAAGAGGTAAGTGTCAAGTTATCTCTGAAGCTCAGGGTGCTTAGATCCTACACTAAAAGAAACTATTTCTTATCCAAGTTTTTTCAATTCCAGTTATGCGACAAAAACTTTACCAAACAGATCACCAAGTCTTACTTTGGTTTTCTTTTAAAAACATTTATTCTGCAAAATTAATATAATAAACATGATGTTTTTAATGGAAATAGATATGTATTCCTAAAAGGAAGTAGTGTGATTCACAAGAAAAGCTGAAAATAGTCAAATAATAATAATTAAAAATTCAAGACAATGAGATACTCAATCAGGTATTTAGTGAGGTACCTACACGTCTTCATAATCTGACCTTTGAAACAGTGACCACATTGTTCAAAGAAGACAGGGATTCTGTCCTCAAGACAGATTAAATATTTTTGATAAGTAATCATAATATACTCTTCTACAGCAAAGTGACTGTAGAACTATAAAACAGTTATAAATTACAGTAATAACATGAAGAACTAAGCTGTTAAATGGCTGGTTAACAATTTAATTTCAATATGAAACAAAATTGGTTTTGATGAACTTTTCCCTGACCAATGAAAATCCTAGTGTTACATTTGCAGGAAAATATATGTGCATCCCTTCTACTGTTGCTAAGGGAACACTTGATTTGCTAAGAAATAAACTACTTTACCCTGTTAGTGGTACCTGCATCAGTGAATACAAAAACTGCATGCAAATATAATCTTCATGTGGCATTATAACAGCCCTTCAAGGTCCAGTCATATACTCCAATTCAACCACAGTTAATATATATTTGTACATAAATCAGTTCATCTCCAATCTTTTGTAAAATCCCTTTTCAATTCCACAAAGTCCATGTGTTGTCAGCTACAGGTGCTTTTGGCCAAATAGAACTTGGCTCACAATGGTGTCCCTGCCACCAGTAACATTAGTCTTTTTCACAATGTTAATGTTTTACTGGTAAGTACGCTGTCTTATCAAGATAAATTCTAAGCCACATTCAGCTATTTTTCAACCATTTTAGGGCTAATTTCTAAAAATGGACAGCTTAACAGCAATGAAATTGCAATCAAACTGCTAACTTATGGTCAGGTGATAATCTCATCTTAAAAACATTTTCTTCATTGATAAATGGTGTTGAATGCAGTTTATGTGAATTCATGTGATCTACATTCAACAAGGAATTGATGAAATATATGGAATTACAATAAACACATCTAAATGAATTCAATGACAGATTAAACACATTCAAAAAGTGCCAGGTCCTTTTTCCATACACTGGATATATTTGACATAAAAGTAATCATATCTAATGTCTTTCATAAAGTGTAAGTTGTTTAATTCTTAAGCATTTATATAAAAATAAAAAGCCTTAGGACTGATAAATCTGAACATGATTCAAATGAACATCTATATGTAAAAAATAAAAATAAAACTTGTCCAAAGGTGCATAAATACAGAAAACCTTCAAAATTCTTTTGAGAAAACGTTTATGCATTTTAATGCAGCTGTAATTGTAACCCAAATAAATTCATATATATGCACTCTATATCAAAATTTATAGGACTGGAATAAAACTTTTTAAAACATAATTAACATCAACAGCAACAAAAACAAAATCCCCCGCCTTAAAATTTTCACAACAAGTCACAACCATTCATCTTTTACATTCTAATCTTTGTATCACAGGCACATAAAATATCCTCCCAGCAACTTATATAACAATGCATAATGATAAATAACTTCTTGGTGCATACTTGACTGATGGAACATATTTGGTGAATAAGAAATAGAGTAACAAGCAATATATTGATTGTCGTGATGGTAGATGTGGTGCGTAAAAAATGAAGCTCGTAAAACCATATGGTGACACTGTCCATCTTAGTTTATTATTTCACCTTGATAATAAAACTTCTCCCTTCTCAGAACTGAGGCTGCTGTTGACCTCTGATCTCCATCAATCTCCAGGCTCCTTTTCATTTGACCTCCGACCTCCACCAATCACCAGGCTCCTGTCTGTCCAATAGAAACTGAGGCTGCTGTTGACCTTTGACCTCCAGTATTTAGGGGGAGGATGATGTCCACCATGGGGTCCTCATCTTCATCTTGTACACCACTGGACAGCTCAGTGGCCTGGAACACAGGGAAACAGCACGAGATAGAATTACTCACCAAACTTGCACACATAAGAACCTATTAAACCTTTCAAACTGAAAGCTTTGTCTTAAAAATAAAACCAATTTTAAAATGTGCATCACCAAATTTTGATACATTTACAGTGTATGAAAACTTATGACATCATGAATTAAGCACTATACATTTTATAGCAAAATCCTGCAAAATAATTTAAACTGTATCAACAAAATAATAAATTCCCTTTTTGGAAAAAATTCTTCAGCACAAAATCAAACAAACCAAAACTAATAAATTAATACCTATCTCCAAACAAACCATGTCAGCACAACGTAAATTGGATATACTTGCAACAAATTTTAAAAATTAAAACAGTTCTAGATACAAAAATGAAAGTTACAGTGATATTAATACATTAGAATTCATTCCTTCTACAAAACAAAACTTGGGAGATAAAAAAAGACCACTGTAAAGCTTACAGTTAAACTGGTTAAGCTAATGTATATTTTCTAGAGTTCTTAGTTTACACACTCTGCGTGTGTGCTCTATGTCAATATATCTGTGTACCTACCAGCACCTACCTCAGCTAACTGTGACTACATCTTCAACTGGTGACTTGGGTTAGACTTGAAAAGAAGAAAACACAGGCAAGTGCAGCTATGCAGTGAAATAGCAGGTGAGGCTAGGAATAAGTCCTAAAGTGAAAGCACTGGTTCTGGCAGACGTTTTATCAAAATATTATATCTCCTCTTCCTCCTATAACAATACTATGTGGTACATAATTTTGCATGCAGGTTATTCACCAATGTTTATACTATATGTCCTGCAATTAGACAGAATTAAAAATTTTCAACTGAGAAATTTGTCTTTGATTTCCAATCAAAATTCAGACTTGATCTCTCACTGCCAGCACCAGTATTTATTGCTATAATATTGAATTGCTGAGGCACATGTATTATATGCAACATCTGCAGATGGTAAAATTGAGTGTGGCAATTTCATGTAATGTTAACTCTGATGTAAATCATACTTTCAGAAACAAACTCTACAACATTGCACCATTTCAATCAAGTGCACAATCAAATCTACAGCCCTTCCTACCAGTGATGAGGCATCTTGAGTCCATCTTTTCTCGGTTAAACTATCATTTCCCAATGTAACTGTGTAAGTGGAAAATGCATGCAAATGAAATACTCAGAAATCTCATGCTATTACTTCAAATCCAACTGCAAAAATGCTCCCCTGTGTCAAATAAGCACACTCCACCCTACTGGCACCATGAGTGTGTGCCAGAACTCTAAGAAATACCTAAACTACTGCCAGATAAACTATGTTTGACGGTGCCAGTAGCACTATCATATTTGATACTGCTGTAGAAATGACAATCAGAGACATTGTCCTCTGGTAAAACAGCTCTGTAATAAACAGAAACATGATATTTCAACTTAAGTGTGCTCTACAGGAGTTTCTGTAACTTTCTGGTAAATGTCTTCTCTTTTTATTTATTTTGGTAAAAAAAGTGAACTATACATTGCAAAGAGTGACAGGTGCTGCGACAGACTTGTTGGAGAATTTATAGGCAAATAAATGGTGAATTGATGTAGGCTTTGCATTTGTGAACTGATAGATGGTGAAATATAAGTGGCATTTTATACTTAAAGCAACCACTGACATTACATATTCTAAATGAAGCATACTTGAACAGTAAACTGGTATGTCTTATTTCAGAGTAACAGCAAAGGTTCCTTTTACACAGTTTCTCCCAAATTTTAAACCACAAAGATCTGTAGAAGAACTAACTGAGTGGGAAGAGAAGTATTCTGTCCAGGACTCCCCCTCTCAAGTCTACTAGCTACCTTAACCTGTGCAGACTGAAGTCTTACCTGGCCAGCCTGTGACTACTGGTGGGTTTCCTCATACTGGGGGGTTGGGAGGGGGGTTTAGGTGCGTACTGCTGCATGGCACTCTCTGGCTCCTTGGCCATCTTAGCATGCTGAGCAGCGTGGGCCTGTGCTATCATAGCCTGGTGTTTGGCTTTACTCTGTTCTAGCATGGTACGGCTCTGCTCTATCATCTTCTGTTGCTTCATCTGCTGCTGTTGCTGAGCCAGCTGATACTGGGTACTACCTCGTGATGGGACGTACCCTGAGCTCAATGGTGACACCCCCGTCACTTGGTTATAGGCATTAGACCATGCCTCATTGTCACTGTCACCATCATCATTGTAAACAAAGCCATCTTCCTCGTAGGCAAAACTATTGAATGTGTCATTGGCTGACTGCAGGTGGGTTCTCTTGTTAGGAGGTGCAGACTTGGTGTGGGAGTGGTGTCCAGCCATGTTTGCTGTAAGGTCCAGGGAAGTTCTGGCTCTCCCCTCTGAGTGATAGGAAGCTACATAGTCATTATAGTTACTTCTACTGACTGGGGGCTTCCCTGTACTTGTCCTATCATTGCTACCAAGGCTGGTTATTGACCTTTGACCCACATCTCCAGGACGACCACCCTGTGACCTTTGACTCATATCTCCACCAGAACCAGGCTGTGATCTTTGACCTCCATCTCCAGCATGGCTGACCTTTGACCTCTGACCAGAATCCCCATTGTTGTAACTGTTAGGGAATGTGATGGGTTTCACAGGACCACTGTTAGAACTCCTAGAGCTGTGACCAGAGCTGGACTGTGTTAACAGACTGGTGTTACTCTGACTTCTCATGGCAGCAGGTCTATCCAGGGACTGAGTTCTCAGGTGGTTTCTACTCGGCTGCACAGGCTCCTTGGCTCCGTTGGGTCCCAGTAGGTTGGACGTGCTGCCCGGGGCGTAGGTGCGTGCTTGTTGTCGCTGTGCTAACCTGTGCAGAGCTTCATTCACTGTGTTCTCATTGTAAGAGTCTGTATAGTGATGGGGGGCTGAAACAACAGAAATACATTACTTAGAATTTCTATTAGTCTTCTTCAGAAAGTTACTATGTTACATCAAAATAATCTGATGAAAGAACAGCAACTGCTGTCTGGAGATTTTAAACATTTTTCAATACAACAATCTTCCACCATAACATAATAATACAGATATCTTTACAATTCAGTATGAGAGGATATACTATATAGATAATACCTGAGCTTCCGTCTGGTCTTTCTCTATACACAGTGGCTGATGAGGGCCGAGATCGGCTGGAGCCAGCTGACATAGGACGTCCTGACCCAGGTCGAGAGTTGGTGCGAGACATGCCTGAAATAGACCATGAGACACAACAAGTTATGTCATTGATAAGTGGTGCACAAGTGGTCAAAGTTTACTCAATGTAAACTAACTTAATTCACAATAAAACTTGAATGAAGGCATGCAAGAGGAACAATGATACAGAAAATCAGGAGACTGGTGGAGAATCACTCAGTTAGGTTTTCCAGTTAGGCTGTATTGAAAAGTTTGGATGAGCAGAAAAATTACTAAGATTTTGACCCCTGCAAGTGAATATCTAAATTATGGATGCTTTCATCTATTCTTAAATCTAGTAAAACTGTCTAAATATGGAACAGCTGAGATTATCTTAAGATTATTTTACTTCATAGTATTTTTATTAAGAACATAGAAAAGAATAATGTAATGCGATACTAAAGAAAAAGATAAATAATGTAGAAGGGAAGTAAAACAAATACCCTTTCAATCAATAACAGTAATAAATACAACATCACACACAGTTAAAGACACTACATACTTCGTACACCATTCCTTAATGTGCTTACTGTAAAAAGAAATGATCACACATTAACAAGTATATCTAAGGTATATCATTCATACAAGCCAATGTAGCTGATGAACCTTATCTCTCTCAGTCTTAAAAACCAAGACATCTAAAATATGTTACATAATCCAATCATCTCAGCCAACTTTTTTTCTTGAAAATGGTCTTACTGTTAGTCTCACACTAGACTACACAGGGGCGGGTTCAGGTGGTCTTCTGGGTCTTCCAGAAGACGGTCAGATTTTCAAGTTTACATGAACGAGTAACTAATTATTTTCTGCCAGAAGACTGTCACTTACAGAGAATGAATCAACAAAGATAATTTTTAGGACTGTCAAGAAATATCTCTGGATCCGCCCCTGCCACATGTACCTACCACTTCTCTGTGTACTAGCTGATGCTGGTCTCTGTTTTATGTTGTTGTTAGTCAGCTTAGCACTGTAGATAGGCACAGCACCAGCATAGGAGGACAGGGGGTTCTGTCTGGTGCCAGATTGTTCTCTCTGTATTTGCACAGTATCAGTTTCTGGGAGGAAAGAGAATACTCTCTCTCAAAAACAATCAATCAATGAGTAGATAAAAATCTACTCCAAATTCTAAATCTAATTAACACCATTCTCTTGCAAGAAAACAAATCGGTCTTTATCAACTGTAATTGTGACACTTGTCAAAAGTTTATCATTAAAATCCCATTATTTTTCAATTTTGTTTAATTACCCTCAGATGCTGAGACATGCAGCAATTGTATAATTTAAACCATGGTAACTGAGCACACTTGTCAAACTGGTCCTCTTACCATTACTACCCTGTGTCTCCTGGGGCACCCTGTATTACCCTGTGTCTCTACCCTTACCATTACTACCCTGTGTCTCCTGGGGCACCCTGTATTACCCTGTGTCTCTACCCTTACCATTACTACCCTGTGTCTCCTGGGGCACCCTGTATTACCCTGTGTCTCTACCCTTACCATTACTACCCTGTGTCCCCTGGGGCACCCTGTATTACCCTGTGTATATATACCCTTACCATTACTACCCTGTGTCTCTACCCTTACCATTACTACCCTGTGTGTCCTGGGGCACCCTGTATTACCCTGTGTCTATACCCTTACCATTACTACCCTGTGTCTATACCCTTACCATTACTACCCTGTGTCTCCTGGGGCACCCTGTATTACCCTGTGTCTCTACCCTTACCATTACTACCGTGTCTCTACCCTTACCATTACTACCCTGTGTCTCCTGGGGCACCCTGATGCCCCTGTTTTCCTTCCCTGCCATATCCGACCCCTCCTTTCTCCTGGTCAGTGAGATATCAGACTGAGTGGCCTGAGCAGTGACCGGTGGGCCTTCATAGCTGGACTTGGAATTACTGCCCAAGAAAATACTGGCAGACTTGTTCATCTTGGTGTAAGTGGTCAGCACTTTTTCCAGCTCACTCTCACTGAAGTAAAAAACAGATTATCACTCCAAATTAGTTCACTAACAACGCGTTGCAACAGACACATAGAGATTCATCTGTATCTTCCATAAGTTAACAGATTAACATAATTATGTTAAATTAAAGATCTTTTGCTGGTCTCAAAAACTACAGAAAATAACTGTTGAGCAAAATGATACAGGTAAAGTAAAACTTATTACAAAAGTAAATGTGAAAATGCTACTAAATAATTATACATTCATGTGCATAAACATAATAATCAAGCTTAGAGAAATAAATAAACTGTTGTCATGGTATCAATTCCTTGCCATAAATTTCTACTTTTCTTACCCAGCTACATTCATAAACTGCCCAAACTTGTCCTCATCCACCATGTTCATGTCAATCTTGTCTTTCTTCAGATGTTTCTCTTCCACTTTTGTCCTCTGCCTCAGCTGGTCCGTCTCCTACAAGATCAAGGCTCTCCGTATCAAACCAATTTTCATATCAAGCAAGACAAAGCATAAATATTAAAATGAGAACTTACAAAAAGATAACTGTTCACTGTTCATCATACAAATCACTTTACTATTATGAAAATTCAAGTACCAATGCACGAGTTACTGACCACTGGAGAGTTCACTGAAATGTAGAACAGTGCATACCAGGATACAAGTGTGAATACATACAACATGAGTTATATATACATACACAATGTTTTATCACATCTACACACCAATGTTTTTACTGTACAAGTACTAAAGTCACAAAAGTGTGGGGATAATATGAAGAGACTAAGATTTACCCTAGAGTAGACATGGACAAAATCCCCCAGCTGCTTGGATAGAATCCGTCTCCTGTCATTGATGGGTAACTTCCTGCTGGGGACGACCACCTTAAATGGCTGCTGAAGGTTGACGGCCGCCCTCTTCAGGAACCGGAGCACCAAATCCTGGGAGAGTGAATACAAAAGACGTTCTTACAGGAGTGAACTTCTTAAAACTTTGACAGTCAATTTAAACAAGGGTGGTATAAGAACAAATTACCTGGATAAAGTAACTTGAGTTATGAATAGATGTGGTTTCCAATCAAATATTACCCAGTCAGTTAATAATGATTTTAGTAAAGCCTCAATAAGTACAGGCAATACAAATGATGGAGAAAATATTACCAAACCTATTACCTCCACTGAATTTTTTTATCATTTCATGTATTATCAAACAAAAACTTAAAATTTCTTTTTCCAAACAAAAAAGAGGAATTCCTTTAAAAGAAGGAAAGTTCCCATCTCATCAGGGATGTGTTCTCACCATCTGCTCATTGGCTGCCTCTCTGTCTCCCTTGTCACTGCTGCCTGTCTCTGACATCAGACGCTCCTGGACACGGGACAAATACGTGGCAAATGCTGACCTCGCCTGGACTTTACTGAAATACAGTCGAATTAGAATTTAAGTAAATATGTATTCTCACACATATTTGGCCACATTTACATCAAGTGTGGTGATGCATTTGGTTGCAATAAAGTACTTGTATCTTTTTTTAATTATCTTGTTACAATACTGGCTTTAAATAATAAAGGGGGATTATATTCACTCTCAAAATTTATCTTTCTAAAAAAATTCCTAACCATTATTACAAAAACTAATAAAACACACCACTTATATTCTTAGTTTAAAGTCTCAAATCTGTTCTTCTAGAAATCAATGCAAACCAAACCAAACCAAATCTAAACCAAACCCCTGCATTCCTACCTTAAACTTCCTCCCTTCTCCAACACACCAACCACGTCAAACTTTGGTGGTGGCGGCGCTGGCTGAATAACAGACGCTGTCTCAAAATTGGTGATGACTTTATTTCTGGTGGTCACTGGCTCCGTAGTCCTGGGTCTGTTCAGCTGGTTATAACTGGCTGGGGCGGGGGTGGGCGGGGCCTTGTACTGGTAGGAGGAGACAGGGGGTGGCGGTGCTTCTTGTCCCTGGGGTTCCTGTCTGACCATGGGGGGTGGGGGTGCAGAGGGGTCTGGCTGAGTCTGAGGGGGTTTCTTGACAGTAGATGGCTGGTTGTAGTTGTAAGTGACTTGTGGCTTCTGCTGTGGTGGTACTTTAGGTTCATCACCTTTTCCTTGCTGCTGAGAGAGAAATTTCATCAAGGCAATAAGATAAGAAATATATGCAATCAGCCTCAATACTAATGTTTTATTTTACTTCTGATCTGTTGGAACTAACATGGTGCAGCAGTCTATATCATATTTCAGAAAAAATCAAACCAACCTATTTTCATTATCTTTTTTTTGCTAAAAAGTTTTAAAAAACTCAAAGCAACTTATAATTCATAAAATTAAATGTCCACTACATTAACTACAAAGACCACATGAATTAAGCTGCTATCATGATTATAACCTGCTGTTGTGCCGTGTTCTGCTTAGCTCCAGGTTTATTGGTCTGTACACTGCTTCCAGGACGTGATGACATCTCAGACTTAGCGGATTGGGACGTCGGGGTCTCATCCCCCTCTGGAACTCCCTGCACTAGAGTGCCTTTGAATGGACCTGAAGTCACAAATCCAAATAATCACAATAGCAACAACAAAATGGAGAATATGACTTTCAACCCTCAATAAAAAGAAGAGATGAATGATTAAAACCCGATTTTCTTACAGGTTACTTTGACTAAAATGTAGGGGAAATAGATTCAAGCTGTTATCAATTCATGGATTAATCTGTTATCTAATCCTTCATCAAAGAACTTGTTTTGTTGACTGACAAGTGATCAGTACGGGTTGAGGTGCCTGGGAATTAAGTGGTATAATTCCTGCTATCAAGATAAAGATGGAGGGACTATTTCCAGTACAACAGATACAAGTGTCACCCAATCTTACCCTTCTTAGTCTGAATTAAGTGGTACAATTCCTGCTATCAAGATAAAGATGGAGGGACTATTTCCAGTACAACAGATACAAGTGTCACCCATCCTTACCCTTCTTAGTTTGAGGACACCCAGATGATGGTCTTCTCTTTGTAACACGTCTTTTCTTCTTTGTCCCTGTCGACAACTTCCTTTCATATTGCTGGGCACGTTTCACAGCATGCGACAGGAGCTCCTCAAACTGAAGACATACAGAGACACCTGGTGTTAGTTTACAGCAAAAGATGGCTGAGTACACATCCCCAAATGACGTACTTGTTCCACATGATGTTGTCCATTTTGAAATATTAGAATGGTAGACCAGATTGCTGGTCTTTGTTGATATAAGGTTACTGTGGATGAGTTGTAATTTTATATACAAATGACTGGGACTGATGTACAAATAAATAAAAATAAAATCTGACATTATACTGATTTGTTTCATGATCTGCAGAAAAATTAAAGCTGGGGGTATATGAATATTTCATCACAATGCAGTTTTGTCAGTATTGTACAGAGAAGTATCAATAATTTGTTAGTATTCAGGAACATTGTGAAATATCATGCAAAACATGCAAAAGTCTGTGAACTGTGTTTTTATCTTATGAATGCTCAACTTCAATGATATGAACATGCAACGCATAACAAACATTTATCCTTTACACATTAACAAAAATCTGCATTTTGCATAACAAATGATCTTCCCTTATTCACTAAAGAATTTCAGAATCTAATCTATACACATCTGGAGAAACTTCTAAAAACTATTTAAAATTTGTAAATTTGTAAGCTAAGCTTTAGAAAAGCACTATACAGTAATAAAGTAAATAAGTCTTTCATAGACAAGCTTTAAAATTAATCTTGTTAGATTGCATTCACAACGAGTTGAGCCAGGCTTTACAAATCCTGGGGACTAAATATGGCGGACGTACATGAAAGAAAAACCGCTTAATCTTTTAATAGTCTCTCTGCCTCTCACACGCCTCCCCACACGTTGTCCCTGTGTGGGGAAAGTCATTAAATTTCAGCTCCATTGGGACGACACATGGGGAGGCGTGTGAGAGGTGGAGAGACTATTAAAAGATTAGGCGGTTTTTCTTTCATGTATGTCCGCCATATTTAGTCCCCAGGATTTGTAAAGCCTGGCTCAACTCGTTGTGAATGCGATCTTAGAGATACTTTCCATCTTTCCTTTGATTAATGAATGCTTTAGGTTAATATTTCTTAAGTTCATATATCTATTATTCTTAAAATAATAATAATAATAGTGAGTCTATATCATTATGTAAGCAAGCTTATTATAATAAGCTAGTCATCTCTACCTAGTAGGTTAGCCAACATTATTATAGTAAGCTGGATAACCAGGATCCCATAGTCATCTCTACCTAGTAGGTTAGCCAATATTATTTCATCCATGTCTTCTTGGTCATACAATGGTGGTTCTTGGTCATACAAAGGTGGGAAAGCTAGCTACAGTAAAGGGGAAACTTGTACCTTCTCTAAATAATGCTTTAAGCCAGGTATGGGAAACAGGGTTTTACTAGAATCAATGCCAATGTAAAATTGTTTTTATATGAGACTTGGGCATCAACACAACTAGACATTTTGTTCAACTGATCCAGAAATACTAGTTTCTTTAATAATGAAACACTAATTTTATTCTGAGTGAAAATCTTTTCTATTTCATATCTTTAGGTAGAAAAATATGATCAAACTTTCTTCTTTTCTCGTGCTTTCTAATAGTGCAAAATAACTTTTATAGTCTTATCTTCATTTTTTTTTTTGCTCAGTTGATATCATAAAGCTTAATTCAGTTCATATTTCAAGTCAGTTTGTCAAAACTGGGAAATCTGTGCTATGACCTGAACATAACCAGTGCCACATGGATTATCAACATTTCACATATCAATGTATTCACATGTATACATTCCAATGTGGATACATGCATATACATGTATAAAAAGCAAGCAACATGGATCACACCTCTTCATTCTGTTTTGAAAATTTTACAACACAATAAAGAATACCCTAAGTTCACAGTGATGCAAAAATATGCAGCAATCCAAAAGCTTTCAAAGCTATAACGTGACATGAAAAAGAACTTGCTCATATTTTCATCAGGGTATTCTTAATGAATAATATGTTGAAAATTTAAACAGATGTATACCTTCATATTTTTAATCTTGCTCATGATGACCTAAAATACAAATGGATTATTGACAAGAAATACAGATATATAACATCATGCATTGTTAGAAGGCAGGCGAGTTTTTTTCTGAGGCTCAAATATAGAATTTAAACCAAAAGATGAGTTGTTATCCTCAAGAGCTTTATGTAATTCTCTCTAAAGTTGTTTCCATCTAAATATGAAGACAGCTAGAAAAATACCCCACTGCCTCTGCTGTATTCCCCCCCTCTGCTGTATTCCCCCCCTCTGCTGTATTACCCCCCCTCTGCTGTATTACCCCCTCTGCTGTATTCCCCCCCTCTGCTGTATTACCCCCCTCTGCTGTATTACCCCCCTCTGCTGTATTCCCCCCCTCTGCTGTATTCCCCCCTCTGCTGTATT